TGCCCCACATGCCCCCCACATCCTGCGGCACCCACTAACTTCCAGCCTCCACATCCTAGTGCAGCCCTAGGGCCACCCCTTTCCCACGGCCCTGGGGTCAGACCCTCGCCCTGGGCTCCGTGCAGCCACAGCCGCTCCCCCCCCCCACCCTGGGGCCAAGCCCCACTCCCCGCACCCACCAAGGCTGCCAGTGGGCAGGATGCTGCACTCTTGGGCCTGGCATGGTGGGGACACTGGGACCCTTGCAGGTGCCAGGCTGCTGACCTGCCTGGGCGTGCTGGTGTCTGCACCAGGGCAGACATCCCTGCAGGGCAATGGCCTGAACTGCTCTCGAGCAGGCTGGAGCAGGGCACAGCTGCAGCCGGTCACTGGGGGGTCAGGCAGGGTGCAGGGGGGCATGCAGCCCCTCTCCTCCGGCTGCCCCCCATCCCCGGGAGGGCAGGAGTGCCGGATGCATTGTGCAATCGCCTGCAGCGTTGCAGCACGCGGCCTCCCCGGCGGCTATGCAATGCCCTGGCTACCTGCCGAGGGGTTCGTGGGACAGGATCCTTCTGGCACCAGGAAGCGGGGCCTGGCGTGGTGCCATGTGCCACACATGTACAACTACCGGGAGGGGGTAGGCGTGGAGAGGGCGCAGACATATGACCTGCTGCGGGGCGGTGCCCTCTGCACCCTGGCTCTGGCCCCCAAGCTCACCCCAAGGGTGGATCCAGGCTCTGGGATGCAGCCCCTGCCCACATTGCGGGGGGTGGGGGGCAGCAGGGGAAGTTTCCCGGAGCAACGAGCCGCACAGGCCTGTTCCCTGCAAGCATCACTGCAGGTGCCGGGGCCCTAGAGCATGGGGGCGGCACGCCTGGCCCCCGGCCCTGCCCAAGGCACCCATGCAGGGCATGTGAGGTGGGGCTGGGGCAACAGGCACGAGCCTCTCCTGCCCCCGGGTGTGTTCATGAGCAGCATCAGCTGGGCACAGGGGAAGGGGGGCGTGAAGCCAGGCCAAGGGGGCTGCGGAGACGGGGGGCAGCCGGGCAGAGGGCCACGCTGTCCCACGGTGCCGTGAGGGGGCTGGGCCGGGCCTGCAGCTGCGGTGGACGCCATGGGGCGGGGCTGGGTCCTGGGGCCCTGAGCGGGCAGCTCCACCGCGCGGTGACCGGCTGGAAGCAGCTGCTCTCCCGCCCTGCTCCTTCCTCCCTGTGCAGGCAGAGGCAGAGGCTGCCCCGCGGGGGAGAAGGGGACAGACGCACTCCCTGCTGGGCCTCGATGCATCGGGCAATGCCAGCCCCGTGCCCCGGGCTCCTGCAGGCAGCTGCAGAGCTCCCTGCACCCAGAGGAGCAGGGACGTGGGGCCCCAGAGGAGCAAGCCTGGCCCTGCTCGGCCCCTTCCCCACCAGTGGGCCTATGCCGGGATCAGGCCCAGTGAGCAGGGCGCAGGGGTGGGGAGCAGGACCCAGGCGCCGGGAAACCACGACCAGCAAAGCCAGCAGTTTCTCAGGATCTTTATTGAGGCGGGAGCCGCTGGTGCGCGTGGGGGGAGCAGGGAAGGCAGGCCCCTGGGGCAGGGCACTGGGACCCTCTGATCCGGATCCACCTCCCTCTTGGGTGCTGGGGGGTCCCCGGGCCAGGCTCTCAAGCCTCTCCGCATCAGGGGGTCGAGGCCACCTCCCCTCCCGGCCCCCCTCCCCTTGCAGCCCCCGGGCACGGGTTGCTCCAGTCTGGCGGCCCGTGGGATGCCGAGGTCACGTCTCCCGCCTGGGCTGGATGCCGTGCACCCAAGAGGCTCCAAAGGGTGAGGCCGGGGAGGCCAGGACAGTGCCAGGCTGCTTCGGGGGGCCGTCCCGCAGGATGGGCGACAGCTGCTCCTCCTCCTCCTCCTCCCGGCGCCAGCCGCCCCACAGCACCCGGCCCCGCGCGCACGCCAGCAGGCCCGCGGCCACGAGGACCCCGGCCGTGGTGCAGAGCACGACGCCGGCCAGCCTGCAGGTGCCCAGGGCCCGGTTGTGCTCCATCGCCTGCAGGTCCAGCACCAGGAACTCCTCCTCCCCGATGCCCTCCAGCTTCGGGGGCACGAGGTAGCCCGTGGCCAGCGCCGCAGCCCCCAGCAGCAAGAGCAGGGCCCCCGCAGAGAGACTCACCTGGGGGCAGGCAGAGGCAGGGGTTGGCGGCGCGGCAAGGCCTCGCTTTCCCTCCTGCCCTTGGTCTCCCAGGCAGGGCCCGTGTCCCGCCGAGGCCGGGCAGCTCGGCACTTTCAGCATCCTGACTGGTGCCGTCCTGGGGGAGACCCTTGCCGGACACCGGGGTTTTCTCCCCAGCTGCGGGCTGCACCCTGCTCTCAAACGCTTCCGGGGACAGAGACGCTGTCTCACGGTCAAGGTGCTGCCCGGGGTTGGGCCGGGGCTCGGTGCTGACTTACCAGGGAGGGTACCTTGGACCCCGGGGCCGTGCGCAGGAGCAGGGGCCGGGGGGCTGCAGTGCTACTCTCACCTTCCAGACGACGGAGGGCCAAGCAGGGCGGGTGCGGGGGGCCGGCGGCTCGTCCGCATCGTTGTCCAGGCTGGCACCGGCGCAGTCCTCGTAGAAGAGGTGCAGGTAGGAGCGGACGCCGTACCACTTACCGCGCTGCACGCTGGGGCCCCGGCTGCAGCTGCACGGCTGGGCACAGGCCAGCATCGGGCCTGGGGGGCAGCGGAGCCGGGGGGTGGGTCACGGGGCTTCGGGAGGAGAGACCCAGGACTCCTGGGCTCTCTCCTTGGCGGTGCCCGTCAGCAGGCCCCTGCATGACTCGGTTTCCCCAGAGTGGGGAGGCTCCCTGCTGCCAGCCCAGGCGGCGTGGCGCCGTCAGGCAGGCTTAGCATGCCCTGGGTGCCCGGCTCCCTGAGGAGGGTTTGGGGCACCCCCAAGAGAGGGGCATAGAGGCCATCTCCACTCTGGCCAGGCCCCGGGAGCTGAGCTCAGTGCCAGTAGGATGAGACCCCCATCCCCACCCCTGGGCACTCATCCCCTGCGCAGCGGTGCTGCCGGGGGGTCTCCAGGCCAGACCCCCCTTGCAAGCCGCATCCTGTAGGCCGCCGCTCCGCACCAATCCCCGTGTCCGCCTGCCTCCAGGATGATGAGCGCAGCCCGGGGCTGATTGGGCATTGCCATGGGAACCGCCTGGGGAGGCCTGAGTCACAGCTGGGGCTGGGAGGAGGGGCGACAGGAGTGGGGATGGGGGGGCAGCCACTCCCCCCGGGCCCAGCAAGGCTGGAGGGACCCCCCCGGATGCCCAGCGGGAACGCTGCCCTCCTCGCACCCCCGCCCCGGCCCTGGCGCAGAGCAGAGGGCTCCTGCGGGGCCCAGGCCTGCAGCCCCGAGACAGCTGCACGCCAGGCTGCACGGGGCAGGGCCCATGCCTTGGCACCAGGGTGACGGGCCCTGCTCACGGCACGCAGGCCCAGCCCAGCTGCAGCCCTCTGCTCTCTTGGAGGGGGCCTCCAGACCAGGGGCTTCATAACCCAGTGCCGGTGGGGGAGATCTCCCCCCGCGCCTGGGCCGCCTGCAGCATGGCACATCCTTTGCTCCCTGCCCGGCTGCACTCACCTCCGGCTGGGCAGGGCTGGTCCTAGCGCATCCTGTCCCTTGTCGGACCCGTCTGCAGGACGATGCCCCGGGCAAGCAGCGGTGCGGGGTGGGAGCCTCTCCCAAAGGCGTCCAGCGCTTCCCCCCCTGCAGCCAGTGTGCGCAGACAGGTGCAAGGGCTGGCCTGGCCTGCCCGCTCCCCAGCTGGCGTGGAAGGGGGCAGAGGCTGTTTACCTGTTGCAGCGCCGGCTGCCCAGCTGCTGGCGTTTGGCAGGCGGCAGAGGCTCCGCCGGCTGGCGAGAGGCTGGCTCTGCTCAGCCCCGGCGCTGAGCTGTGTCTGAGTCACCGGCGGAGAGGCGGCGTGGCTGTGCGAGGCAGGCGGTGGGGGCACGTGGCAGCCCCCGGCCTTCCCGCTCACCAGCGCTGCAGCTGCCCCCGGGCCGGGCCCTGCACACGGCACCCAGCCCGGCTGCACGGGGAGGGGGCCCTTGCCCCCGCCTGTGGCGTGATGGGGGGGCTCTCGTGCACAGCCAGAGGGACACCGGCTTTGCATCCTTTGCCCGATGCAGGACCGGGGGGTGCTGAGCCAGGGCTGGGACCTGATGCCCGGGGGCACCGCTCTGCTTCTTCCCAGGCGGGGTTGGGCCACGGGGAGGACTGGCGGAGAGGCCAGGGATGCCCGTAGCACCGGCCTTGCCCCCCCCGCCCCCCGGCAGGGTGTCCTTGGCTGGGAGAGATGCCCGGGATGCTGCTGTCGCCGTGGCAACAGCCACTGGGAGCAGAGGGATGTCGCTAATGCCTCTGGGTGTCGGGCACCTTGGAGACGGGCGCTGGGTTCGGTTCCTCCGCTGTTGCCGTGGCGCTGGGGCTCGTTTCACCATGCGGATGAGGCTGGGGCTGCTCATGTGTCGTCCCCCTCCCCCCCCACTGGTGTCAGTGCTAATGCCGGGGGCAGACGGGCCTGGCTGCCCCCCCTCCGCTAATCCCCAGGGATTTCGGGCCCTGCTAAGGGGATTGCCAGGCCTCCGGCTTTGCTGAGCACCTCCATCCTGCCCGGCTCCTGCACCGAGGCTCATAGGCCGGCACCGCCACCTTGTTGCCGTGGCGACGCGGTCGGCTCGGTGAGGAAGCTGATGCAAACGCCGTGGTGATAAAGCTGATGCTGGCAAGGTGGGGCTGGAGCGGAGGGGTGAGGCTGCCGGGATCGGGGGGCCTTGCCCGTCCTGGCTACGTGGGATCCGTCCGGGCCGGCTTCGGTGCCCCCCTCGCCCACGGCTGGCGCGTCCAGACAGGGAAAACAGAGGCCCAAAGGGGGTCCCGGTCTCCCCGCAGCTGTATGGGCCAAGCCAGGGTGCGGGGCTCACCCAGCGCCTGGGCCTGTACAACCCGAAGCCACCTGCCCCCAGGGCTGCCCCGGCAGAGAGGGGCAGGGGAAAGGCTGCGACCGGAAAGGCCGGCGTGTCGGCCACGGGCTCCCACTGGGGACTGGGGCAGGCGGCTGCCAAAGCCAGGCTGAGCGCTGACGCCCTGGCACTGCCGCTGGCTCCAGCCCGGGTGCAGCTGGCAGCTCAGGAGCCAACGCTGGACAGCGCTCGCGGCACGGCCTGAGGTCTGCCTGCCAGGGCTGCAGGGCCCGGAGTGCGTCTGCTGCTGCTCGGGATGCAGGGTCGGCTGGGCAGGGTCTGGGGGGCACGAGCTGTGGCTCCGATGCCGAAGGAAAAGGCTTGGGGGGACCTGGGCACGGGAAGCCCAGGGGAGCAGATTCATGCAGCCGCCAGCGCTTCCTTCCGGGGCAGGCAGTGCTGCAAAGAGCCACTGACCGCGGAGGGCATCTCCCCTGTGCACACGCGCACAGCACCTGCACACGCACGTACACAAGTGTGCTGGCACGCAGAATACCTGCACACAGCACCTGCCCACGCAGAAAACCTGCATGCGCATGAACACAGAGCACCTGCCCACATGTGCACACACAGCACCCGTGGGAGGGACAGTGGCCACAGCTTCAGGCCTGGCTAGGGGACCAGGGCAGGGCCAATCCGCCTGCCTGCAGCCACCCACCCCAGAAGCAGCTGCATTTCTAGTAGCAAGGGAAAGCAACGTGTGCCGGGGTGTGCAACGCAGCCTCTCCTGCACCTGTAAAGGCAGGGAGAGCGGAGCACGTAGTGCTGTGCAACCTGCTGACAGAGGCCAGGCTGGGGCTGGGGGCACGGCCCGGCCCGGCCCCTCGTTCTGGGCTGCCGGGCCCGAGTCCAGCTGCGTGTCGGGGAGGGTTTAAGCATCCCCAGGGGCACTGGGTGTTGGCTGCAGCCCAGGCTGGCGATGGCAACTGGGTTAGCACCGGCCTCAGAGGTCCTGGCTAGATGGAGGGTCTTGCCCCTGTGCTCAGGCCATGAGGAAGGGATTTCCCCCATGGTCGGGCTGGTAGGACTGCAGGGGTTCCCTCTGCCTGGGATCCCTGGAGCGTGTATGAGCCAATTTGCAGCAGCCGGACGCTGGTTGGGGCGTGAGGTCTGTGTTGTGCCGGGGCGCAGTGATGGGTTTGTCTGGGCGGGTTTGCACAGGGCTGATCCTGCCGCAGGCAGGGCTTGGACTGGACGTGACCTCTGCAGCCCCCTGCCAGCCCCACTCCGGGGTCTCTCTGCGCCCTGTCTTGCAGGGGGAGCCTGGTCCTTGGGAGCAGCTCTGCCGTGCACGCGGCTACCCCGCTGCGCAAACACCCCGAGCGGGGGGCAGTCTCAGCCCAGGGGCTGCCGCGCGAGGGCAGGGCACGGCCCGGCTTCGAGGAGACCGGGGGCCCGGCGGCGCGTCAGGAACGGAGGCAGAGAAGAGGCGGCCGCGCCCTGGGCAGACCGAGAATACACTTTATTCCATAGTCACGACAACCAGTATCACCACGAGCCGAGCTTGCACCTCGCCGGACCCGGGACGCCCGGACACGTCCAGCCCCGCGGCCGCCTCTCGCCTCCAAGCCGGCTTCTCCAAGACAACGATACAGGAACCTCTGCACTAACACGACGGTACAACATCCAACCCAGAGCGCTCGTAGCACCGTGGGCAGGCGGGAGCGGGCCCACGGGCCGGCGCCGCCTGCCGAGAACTGTGAAGCGTTGGGAGAGGTTTGGGAGAACGGGATGGGGACGGCGTCCCCTGAGCCCTGCTGGCCACGATCCGTGGGGTTTGTTCCTGAGAGAGGTTTTTATTATTATTATTATTATTATTAATATTATTATTCTCATTTTGTTCTGTCTCTACCGATGACTCGAATGGGTCGCACGCACGCACGCACACACAGAGATGGCAGCAAATTACAGGCAGC